AACAATCACTTGCATATAAGATTGGTAGTATGATTATCCATACACAACTTACACATGGAGGAGAGAGAAAGGGCTTAAAAAGTTTAAGTAACTTGCTCCAGGAATCCTTGTGAACTACTCATCTCCTATTTCAACGTCTGGCTCAGAATACCAGTTCCTCTAGCCCCAGGGACCTTGGTGTCTTTGCTTAGCCGCCACCACAGATTTGACTCCTGTTTTTGAATTCACCTGGAGGTTGGCATACAGATACCTGTCAGCTGATGTTCCTGTCGCTGACTGACCCCATTGCCTCTCTGGGTCTCACAAATACTGTCTGCTCATAGATTTCTGTTTGTGTTTTAACTGATGATTCCAGGGTCCCAGATCTCCAGATCCCCACTCAGTCTATATTTACCAGTTTTGGTCACTAACTGTGCTGGGGGCAGGGGTGAGGTGGGTGGGTTTTAGAGTCTGCTGTGAGCCTTCCAAGAATGACGAGTTAATCTAAAAGAAGTCACCTTAGTCCAATTATTAAAAAATAGTCCTCTTGAACTCTACCTACCTAAAAGTTCCATCTCCCACCTTCACTCCACCCCCTTCCTCTGTTTCCTAGATTAGAAGTGTCCATGTCTGGCGCATGTAATACTGTTCTGTGTGTCTTGGTTTGGTCTTCATTGCTGTGACAAAATACTCTGACCACTACCAACTTGTGGAGGAAAGGGTTTATTTAGCTTTCATATCCCAGGTCACAGTTCATCTGGGAACCCAAGGTAGGAACTCAGGGCAGGAACCTGGAGGCAGGAACTGTAGCACAGGCCATGGAGGAATGCTGCTTACTGGCTTGCTCCCCTGGCCCCTGCTCAGCCTGCTTTCTTATGAAACACAAGCCCACCTGCCCAGGGGTGGCACCACCCACAGGGGGCTGGGCCCTCCCACATCACTCATCAGGAAGATGCCCCTCAGACATGGCCACAGGCCAGTCCAACAGAGGCAACTGAAGCTCCCTCAACCCAGGTGTGTCAAGTTGACACCAAAACTATCCAGCACAATCCAATTATTAAAAAACAGTCCTCTTGAACTCTACCTACCTAAAAGTTCCATCTGCCACCTTCACTCCACCCCCTTCCTCTGTTTCCTGGATTAGAAGTGTCCATGTGTGGCCCATGTAATACTGGTCTGTGAAAACTTGACAAGTGGTATCTGGACAAACAGCATTTTAAGTGTACATCTCTCTAGATTCTTTTAAGGAATTGTCCTGAAACCAGCTTGAGGATGTGCCTGTATTTGCATTAGATATTATTCCTTTTCACATGCTTCATTCATACCCTGAAGTTTACTCACTGTGATGCTTTGCCCTGGGGCAAAAAGAAAAAAACATCCTGAATAGCAAGGTCAGAAATAGTAGAGTAACTATTTTGAAGAAGCTTTGAAGATTAATAACAAAGTATGTGTAAAGTGTATAAGAAGCATGCATCTTTTTCTTTCATTAAATGCATAAAAGGTTTGATTATGATTTTAACCAAATTAGTGGAGTCATTTATGATTTTACAGATATGATCCTTATTTATTCTCAAAAGTTCAACACCAGAGATGAATGCATATACACTTATTGAAAGAGTATCTATCATAGCACACCTTCTATTGTTTCACAAAAATTTATTACTCTTATTATAACATTTATGAAGCATATCCCATTGCTGCTTATTTCAATAAATTATTTAAAATTGGTATAGATCAATGTCATTGAAATTTCAATGTTTAGTAATCCATCTTATAATATGCACCATATTTTTACAGTATTTCTCACAACATATATCAAACTATATTTGAATGAAAAATGAAGTCAGAATTTTTTTGATAAAAGTCTGATTTGACTGATTTTGTAATAGAACTTTGAAAATTGAACTAGATGGTGGACGTTTTCATAAAAATATAAACTTCCTGGGCTGGAGCGATGGCTCAGCAGTTAAGAACACTGGTTGTTCTTACAGAAGGCCTGGGTTTGAATCCTAGCACCCACATGGCAGCTAACGACTGTCCATAACTCCAATCCCAGGGGATCCAACAGCCTCTTCTGACCTCCTCGGGCATTGCACAACATTGGTGCACTTACCTACACGCAGGTAATACATGCATACACATAAAATAAAAATATTAAATAAAATTTAAAAAAGAAAGAAAAATATAGAACTTCCACATTTGGAAAAAAGAACGTGTAAGTATGTGATGAGATAAAACCATTTTTTAAAAACATTGTATTGGCAAATTTAATCGTTATTTGAATTTAAGACCTAGGTGTCCACAAATTCTATTTTCTGTCTTTTCTTTTTTTCTTCATATGCAGGGATACACAAAATAGCTCTAAGTGAAAAAGTAACAGGTAGAAATGATAGTGATTGGAGCTGGAGAGATGGCTTAGTGGTTAAGAGCACTGGCTATTCTTGTAGAGGACCAGGGTTCAGTTCCCAGCACCACATGGCTGCCAACAAACAATCATCCCTAACGCCAGCTCCAAGGGATCTGATGCTTTCTTCTGGTTAATGTGGGCACTGCATGCATGTGGTGCACTTACACACAGGCAAAACATTTATACATATAAAATAAAAATAAAAATAAAACCTTTAGTAAAATGATAGTGATGGAGTTTTTATGCCCTACAAATCGAGAACATAATTTACTTTTTTTTTTTATTTTGGTCTTTTTGAGACATGGTCTCCATGCAATCCCAGCTGGCCTGGACCTCACTATGTAGACCAGGTTGGCCTCCAACTCACAGAAGTCCGCCTGCCTCTGCCTCCTGAGGGCTGGGATAAAGGTGTACACCACCACACATGGTTGAATATAATTTACTTTAATGACCATGTAAAATCATAATCAAAACTTTTATGCATTTATGACCTCTTTTCATGAGGCAAACAATTCTCAATATTTTACTTTGAATAAACTTGATGGAGACCTAACAAAATTTGTCAGCCAGTCATCATACTTAATTTCGGAGCCAGGCCTGGTGGCCCAAGCCATGTAATCCCATTACCTGGGAGGTGGAAGAATTAGGGTCACAAGTTCAGTGCCACTCTGGGATATCTAGTTAAATGTGGTTTCAAAGAAATAGTTTTTGAATAAGTCACTATAATTCACATAGCATTACTTTCACCATTTAAAAGTGTACAACCCAGGGCTGGAGAGGTGGCTCAGTGGTTAAGAACACTGGTTGTTCTTGCAGAACACCCGGGTTTGGATCCCAGCACCCACATGGCAGCTAACAACTGTCTATAAGTCCAGTTCTAGGGGATCCAACAGCCTCTTATGACCCCCGCGGGCATTGCACGACACGGGTGCACTTACCTACATGCAGGTAATACACGCATACACATAAAATAAAATAAATAAATAAAAAGTGTACAAGCCAAATGGCTCTTTGTACAGAGGTTTTTTTTGTGTAACTACCATAACAATCAATTCTAGAACATCCTCCAAAGAAAAGAAAACCTATAACCCTTAGCAATGGTCCACAGAGAAACCCCTTGTGGGAAACCACTAATCTGATTTCTGTCCGTTAGATTTGTCTCTTCTGGACATTTCATGTAAGTGGAATTTTAAAGTGATATTTCATGACTGATTTCTTTTGCTTAGCATTTGTTTCCAAGGTTCATCCATGTGTAACATGTACTTATATGTCATTTCTTCTTATTGATGCATATCACATCTTACCAGTTGTGGAGATCTGGGTTATATCTACTCCTTGGCTATTAAGAATAATAAGCATATTCAGATTTACTATGAGCCTGCTTCCATTTTTCTTGGGTATATACAGAGAAGTAGAATTCCTGGGTCACATGACAGCACTGTTTACCCTTTGAAGCAATGCCAGATTGTTTTTCAAAGAGGCCGCACCATTTTTACATTCCCACCTGCAGTGCATGAAAGGCTCCAATTTCTCCACAGCCTAGCCAACATTAGCTGTCTCCTCCTCCTCCTCCCCCTCCCCCCTCCTCCTCCCCCTCCTCTTCCTCTTCTTGTCATTCTACAGTCTGCTGCAATCATATTAACTATCCATCGTCTCTAGAGAAGGCAAAAAACGTTGGATTTCTGGGGATTGGTAATTAGACAAGGCAGGCCCCAAGTGCTTTAGTACTTCAGTCACATAATAAAGTGAAGACTGACTCCACAGTTAATCCAAGAAGCCTGTAGGAGTCTCTCCTTTCCCCACCCCTGATGCCCCAATCCACCAGGCAGCCGTCTGACCCAGGGAGAAGAGACGTCTTGCTCAGTAAGGTCAGCTCTTTAGTTTGTCTTTGCGGCCAATTCTGGCTCTGAGTGGCCAATAACCTGGAAAAGTAGCTGGGCTTCCCCAGGGCCGCCCAGGGCTGCGTAGTGAGATACCGGGCATTCCGGAACAGGGGCGAAGAGGCTAGAGAAAACTACAATTCCCAGGAGTCTATGGGAGGGGGTACCTCCCGGCGGTCTGGGCCTACTGCCTGAGAGCACGGAGCCTCTCCCTGCGCCTCATTGTTAAAAGCGCTACGACAGGTAACTGTACTCATGCTCAGTCCGGTCCCAATCAGCTCCGCTCCTTTCTTTCCCGCAGGCCCCTTTCCGGTCCTGCTGAGGCATCCTTTTCCCCGCCCCATTCTCCGGGAGTCCGAAGGGGGCGGGGCCCCGGACAAGCGCGTTCCCAAGGGTGTGCACTGGGGCTCTTAATAGGGAGGGGACTAAGCGTTGGGTGTGGAAGGTAGGCTCCAAGACCGCAGGAACGGAGGGCGCATGCGTCCTGGCTGTGCTCAGGAGGGCTCCAGGAGTTACAGAGGGGCGGGGAGGAAATGGCTGCTGGGCTGACGCACGCGCATTGACTGCCGGCGCCGGACCTCAGGTCCCGGATTCTTTCCCCTCCTCTGCCTCCTCCGGAAGTGGAGCCGCCCGGGTGCCTACCCGTGGCCGCCTGGCGGCAGGCCCCGCCCAGGCCCCGCCCCCCGGCTCCGCCTCCTTCCCTGGAGGTGGTGCCGGGTTGCGGCCCCGACAGTGGAGGTGTTGGTTACTGAAGCTGGGAGCGGGGTCGTACCCAGAAGGGCGGCCGGGCTATGCTAGCTGGCCTGCTAGCGTCCGCGTCGCAGCCCCAGAACCGCAGTCTCCTCAGCCCGGTCCCGCGCTGCGGCCGGCGGCGCCCGGGGCGCGCCCCCTCCGATGGCTGCGGAGATCCAACCCAAGCCCCTGACCCGCAAGCCGATCCTGCTGCAGCGGGTCGAGGGGTCGCAGGAGGTGGTGAATATGGCGGTGATCGTGCCCAAAGAGGAGGGCGTCATCAGCGTGTCGGAGGACAGGTACAGACCACTGCCCCTCGGCTGCGAGGTGGGCGTGCGCGCCTGTGGAGACCTCGCGTCCCAGGCCGCTGCTGTCCAGCTGCGCGCCGCCCTTGGTGCGCTGTGGCCTCGTCCGCGGCCCGAACGCCTGCGGGAGCCCGAGTGGCTAACGGTGCGCCGGACACTTGGTCCAGCTCCGGAATGGGAGGACGGAGGGAGGCGGGGAGGGAGGAGCCGGCCTGCCTGCAGGTGTGTGCGCCGTGAAGATGCGCTCTGCTGGGTAGCTAAGGGTTCGGGGCGCTCGCTCGCCTCTCTTTGCGCCCCAAAGGGAACGGAGTCACCGCTGCCCCTATACAGTCCAGCTCGGCTGTGTATCTCCCAGACGTCGCCCACCGAATTCCCAGTCCGTTTCAAGTTGTGAAGAGAGTAACTTTGGGCTTCTGCGTGTGGTGCGGTCCTCTCCTTTCTCCCTGTGTCTCCAGGGGAAGTGTCTGGAAATTGCAAGAGACCACGGTTGCAGATATCTCCCAGAGTTCCTTTGCTTCCTTCCTTTCTTTTTGCTTAATTTTGCTTCGTTTGCAGAAGTAGACCTACTTGTTTTGCCCTCAGTATTCGCCCTTGCGTTGCATTTTTTGCTTTGGCTAACTGCGCTTTCTTAATATGGAGAAAAAGTTTCCCATTGTCACTTCCAGAGGAATGATGCTTGAATGTAGGAGCTAGGGCAATACATCTGGAATTGCTTATTTGGTAATACCTATAGGCATTCTAGAAAATTGTAACCCTGTAGAAGTATATTGCTCTGCGCTTTTAACTTAAAACAGTAGTTAGGCTTGCTTAATTAATAGAAGTTAAAATCATGCTGAGGTAGGGAATTTCCTTCCATGACTCCTAAAATCGCAAGAGCAACGAAGTGTTCATTACTCTTTTTAAAATCCTTTCAACACTTTCTGCAGTGTAACCTCAATTGTACTTACTGTTTCTTAGGTGCTTGAGTATAACTAGGGGGAGTGTATTGATACCTGTATATTACATATCGTGTCTGCATCATGCTTGATTAATGGTGCCTGATTCATTTCTTGTGCAGCTCCATGGGGGAAACATTGCCAACCCTAATGGCAGTTGGTCTGGAAAGAACAGAAGTTGTGTGTGAAGTGGATGCAGGAGCCTTTTAAATTCACAAAGAAGTCTTACAACAGTGTTGAATTTTTTCCATGGGTCAACATTCCATTAAAAGAGACTGCTTCTAGACATAGAAGTTCTTGTCACAGAATTTTATTTATAGATATATTCTATATGTCAGAGGAATATACGGATAGATATGTTTTTCCTTCTCTTACTAGAGATGAAATTGATTTCTCACCTTGTAAGACATCCATAATTCTTGCCTGTAAGTTGCAAGAGTGAGTTCATTGAATCAAGTAAGGAGGAAAAACGTTGTTAGACCTCAGCTCCTTTAATATTAGTTCTAAAACTTCTAATTTCCATTCCACTGTATTTCCTTTAAAGGAAACAACTTTAGTGAAGGTATATATTTCAAAGTGTGTAGAGAAGCTAAAGTGTATGTGAAAGAAAGTGAAGAAAAAGTTGCATTTGATCATAGAAATGTTTAGCAATATCTTACTTTTCACTTTCCTAATCTACAATGTACACAATAGAATTGATTTTATCATAGAGTTACTGTTAAATAAATAAGGCCCACATAGAAATCCAGGATCGTTGTCTCCATGTGTTTTATTATTATTCAGGTTGACAGATCTGTGCTTCTTTGGGTCAGACAATCAACAATTAAAATACCTGCTTTAGGGTACAGTTTCATTTATGGCTTTCACTAAAAGAGAATTGATCTGTATTCTTATCAAAATCCAATGTCCCTTGATATAACACTAAAAATAAGAAGATAGAATTTTGATTTTCATCAAAACCTACAAGCCATTACCACTAACTGCTTTGGCTGGTTCATTCTTGAACTGCAACGGTCAGTCACAAATAATGTCCTGTATCATAGTTCTTATGGAACCATAGTTTCTCTTTTCACTTTTGACTCATTACAGCCTTTACCTGAACTTTTGAAAACACTTAACATTTTGTGTTTTTTACCATATTTTACTTTATTTAAATTTTTTTTTTTTTTGGTCTTTTTGAGACAGGGTCTCCCTGTAGCCCCAGTTGGCTTGGAATTCGCTATATAGACCAGGCTAGCCACAAACTCACAGAGATCCGCCTGCCTCTGCCTTCCAAGTGCTGGGATTAAAGGCATTCCTCATTCTGTAAGTGTGGGTATATATCAAACTAAGGATAAGCATGAGGCTCTTCAACCTGGGAGAGGGGTATAAACCATCAAAGACCCTCTGATGGGACAGGGACATAGCTCAGTGATAAGAGTGTTTGACTGCTTGCTTACCATGTGTGAGGCCCCGTGTTTGATCCTCAGTGTTGCAAAAAAATACAACACAACAAACAACACACACAAAAAACTCAAAACTTTTAAAGCCAGGTAATACTTAGACTAGAACAGCAAAGAGGAACTCTGACTTGAAGGAGGGCATAAGGATGCTCATGACACATAGCCACTGTACTCATAACATAAAAACATGGGAAATGCTGGGTATGGTGGTAGATGCCTGTAATCCCAGCTCTTGGGAGGCTGAGGCAGGAAGATTGTGAATTTGGCACCATGCTGGGCTATATAGGGAGTTCCTGGCTAGTGTAGGCTACATAGTGGGACCCTATCTCAAAACAAAACATGGGAAGGATGAAGAGCAAACAAGAATGCCAGTACTAGATAGGAAGCGGAGTTGCTCAGTCTCTACTTATGTGCAATGAGAGTCACAAAGGCTCACTCCCTTTTGTGAGATAGGGCCTTCCTATGTAGTTCAGATGGCCTTGAACCTGGGATCCCCCTGCTTCCTAAGCACTAGAATTACAAGTATATGCTGCTGTGTCTGGCCCTATAAATTTTAAAGAAAGAGATCTGCGCCTCAGCCTCCCAAGTGCTGGGCCTAAAGGTGTGTGCCACCATGCCTGGTATATTATTTATTATTTTTATTTTATGTGTATGAGTGTATTGCCTGCCTGTACGTAAGTGTACCCATGTGGTACAATGCCCAAGAAGTTAGAGATTAGACGAGGATGTCTGATCCCCTGGAACTGGAGTTATGGTGGGTGCTAGCCACTATGTGGGTTCTGGGAACCAAACCTCCTAAAGGTGTGTGCCACCATGCCTGGTATATTATTTATTATTTTTATTTTATGTGTATGAGTGTATTGCCTGCCTGTACGTAAGTGTACCCATGTGGTACAATGCCCAAGAAGTTAGAGATTAGACGAGGATGTCTGATCCCCTGGAACTGGAGTTATGGTGGGTGCTAGCCACTATGTGGGTTCTGGGAACCAAACCTAGGTCCTCTGTAAGAACAGCCAGTGCTCTTAACCGCTGAGCCATCTCTCCAGTCCCACATTTTGTATTTTAAACAGCAGTATGATACCTCATGTCTGTTTTGTCTTCTGTGAGTTCTCTAGAGAGCTTTGTGTGTCTTCTTCACTGTGTGTGTGTGTGTGTAGGGCCTACATAATTACTGGCCCATATCAGTCCCTTAAGAATTTGTTGGATCATGGAGGATCCCCCTCTTTCCTGCCTCTGAAACACAGTGTTTTTAACTTATCTGGATTTTTTGATACTTGTTAAGTGAATATTTTAATGACTGATGAAAACCTTATGTAGACAAATGTACATTTGTGAGGAAAGTATTGGAGTGGGGACTTTAGGTACTTTAAAACTGAAAAGTCCTGGGGCTAGAGAAATGGTTCAGCAGTTAAGAGCACTGGCTGCTCTTGCAGAGGACCCAGTTTCAGTTCCCAACACCCCTATGGTTGCTAATACCCATCCTTAACTCCAGTTCCAGGGAATCCAACTCCCTCTTTGGGCCTCCGTGGGCAGGCACATGGTATAAAACACTCATACACATACAACAAATATAAATAAATGGAAAAACAAACCCTGAAAAGTCCATTTATTGCTTCATTTATCTATCAGTCATCAGCTGAGTTCCAGTTGTGTTCTCATCCCATGTGTTCATGACAGTGATGATAACCACAGAGTCTTTTCAAGATACTCACAGTTTAGTAGGGGGAACATTTAAAATATTGGTTTTGTTTTGTGTATGTGTGTGGAGCTAGGGATGGAACCTTAGACCTTGTGTGTGCTGGGTAAAGGCTCTGTCACTGAGACATACCCTCAGGCCAAAAATGTTATTTAATTAAACAAAACCAGGATATTTAAGATATTAGTAATGAAAAGAGAATTTTCACATGGGAAAGAATGACTGAGTTCCCTGACCCTTTTTGTCCTCGAAGTCCTACATCTTTGGAGGATTGTTTCACTTGAAGTTCCGTTTTCACTCTCAGCCTCCTCCTAGTAGTGAGCTGATAGTTCTCAAATCTTCGAGTTCCGGTGGATAAAAACCTTTGCTTTCAAGTTCACTGTGGCACAGTTAGGAAGTCTAGAACTTTACTTGATATTAAAGGAGGAAACATAGGGAAAATTAGACCTATAAAACCAAACTGAGCTATTGGTAAAGATTTCTGGTTTCTACCATAATGTATAACCTCTTCCCTGAACTCATTGGCCTTGCCAAGTCTGCTTTGATTGTAGCTAGGTTCTATTCCCAGAGAATACACCATACTTTGGCACTTTAGGTTTTTCATTTTCCTGCTTCTTTTGGGATGGTGTCTTCTGGGTTTCAACATCCCTTGCTTAAGGAATCATCTCTGGACATCTTTGCTCTGTTTTGGTTAAGACTTAGGTCTCACCTGTAGTTTACCAGGGGCTTCTTGTTTAGTAGCACCTCAGCTAATAAAAGCCAGGAGAGATCTCTCTCCAGATGGGACCCAGCCCCATTCACATCTTTATCTTTATTGTATATTTAAATTCATTGTATACCTATTTTAACCCAGGACCATGATCTTGCCATACAGAGAGTTTCAGCAACTAGTAGTTTCTTTTAGACAGTTAGTGGAAGCTG